TGTGTAGATTTTCGAGTCAAACTCGTACCCAAAATGCACCCATTTTGACGCCAGAGAAAGCCAAGAGGTCAGCGATCGCCAGCGTCCGCCATACCTCCAATCGTCAGCTATGGGTGAAGCCTTAGGCAGTGTCCCAGCAAATTTTCGATTTCGGGCTTTCCAAATTTTCTGAAACTTTGATTGCTGAACACGGATAACAACTTCAATTACCGTGAAATTACCAAAAAACACAGATTAGGGGCCCTTTTCAATCTAAAGGAGACGATTGGTAGAAGGACCAGATTTTCGACTTTTAGTCGCGAGCATGCCTTCTTCGCTAAAGACCACTGCTTATAGGAGAAGCCAAAGAGCAGTGCTGAGGAGGAAATCACTGAGTGGGAAGAGCATTCAAAGGCGAACTTACCTCAAGGTTCAAAGGGATTTCCTCGCTTACCACGAATTATTCGCCTGATTTAGGTAATTCTTTAATTAGAGAGTCGGTCGTCATTATTTGATGAGAGCTCAAAAACCTCAGTTTCGCCTAAACACTGCCTTCGAGGAATTATTAGTACGCAATAATTACGAGGAACTGAAATTCCCATTTAATTATGTCACGAGATACAACATTTGCAGCATACAACACCTTGATGCGCTACATCTTCACCAAGACTTCAAAAAAGAGCAGAAAAGAAAGGTGCAAAGTATCATAACTAAAGAATTCCCGTCATTTTTAGAGTTGCAGCGGTTCCTAGCCTAGCATCGGTCTCGCTCCTCACTGAGCATTGCCTGTTGGCGGTCGTTCGCAGTACTCCGTGTACATTAAGGTAGTTTGCGTTAGCTTTAATAACATCTTTCTCAATTTTTTTTTACATTGAGTAAGACATTTGAGATAATAGCTCTCATCTGCTTCATCTTTCTCGTTTCAAAGAAAAGTCTGCAACTTAAGCGTGTAAAGATTTCAAAGAATTATTCAGCTATGCCAAAATATATTGGAAATTGACCATGAATATTATAATCTTTCTACTTGGAGTTTCAAATCAATGCTTTGCTTCCAACTCTCACGCAAGAAACATAAATTTGGAAACAAAAGCTCTTCCAAAATTAGTGTTGTGTGATGGATAAATTTTTGCATGTATAAGAAGAAAAACTGAAGTATATTCATTATAAACTAACACCAAATAACTTCGGTTTGAAATATTATAGGTATAAAGCCGGTAAAGATTACGGGGTAACTTACATTTAGAAACTCCCCATTGATTGAGTGGAATTGCAAGAAAGAAGAAGACTTAAATACACAATTAGTCGAAATTTATTTTATTCGTTTCCCACTACTGCAGTCATCAATAAGCATTTAATAAGATCATGAAGAACTACCCGAATACATGAGCATAAAAAAAAACCACCACCCTGCGTAGTTCGATTCCAGAATTCTTTGCGTACATCTTTCGCAAGCCTTTCTTATTGAGGAGCCCAGATATTTTGCTTTAGAGATATATTCCCTTGGATCGCGAAGACGAGGCATTGATCTCATAATCGTAATGGGAAGTCCCACGAAATGTTGAGTGCGTGTATTG